GCTTTATGCTCTCAGCAACGGCTTGGAGGCGGCAAAAGCAAATGCAGGCAAGGTAAGGAGGGGAGGGGCGAGGCTCTTTACGTATTTATGCAGGGGTAAGATGAAACCGTTGGGCGACGAAATCGGGGAAGTTTCCCTCAGATCTGGCGCATATAATCCAGATCCGATATCTCCGCCCACGTGCCCACCTTCTCCACATTTAATCGCGCAGACGGTTATGTCCCATCCACTGACACCATGTCGCGCAGCAATGGCAGCTCCCGAGAAGACCACCTCAAAAGACGCGCCGTTGTCAGCCGATGGAAGGGAAATACCCCCCAGCCAATTCCTTCCGAGCTAAGGAACTGGGCGCCGAGCCCGCTACGGTCCAGAGGTTCAAAGGCTAGGCCGTTTATGGTCTCGACAGCCGCCTCTCAGACGACAGTGAGTCGAGGACAACTATGGGCGAGAAGCCGTACATGGCCGAGGCCTGTGCAAGCGATTGCTTGGGATGCCCTAAGTCATGTCCGAGACCAGCAGGAGTTCTCTAAAGGGGATCCCACCGTAGGGAGGCACCGAGCCCCTAGGGCCAATCGAATGGCCCTGGCACCCACTAGAGAAGCCTTCTGGTACTTTTTTGGAGCGCGTCTCTGGACCACTAGCCGACCCCTATCGAATGGGGCATGGGCCTCCACTCGGACTTACCCGATAAAAGCTCACCGGAAATGTCACCGCTCGCGCCCACCGAGGGTAGCCTGGCATGTTCCACCCCTCCTTCCGAGCGAAAAGGATGCGCGAGGGTCGTACAAAAAGCCAGGGGAACTCCTGATCGCCCTCTCGCTCTGCGTGGAGGCTCGGGGGCTCTTCCTACAACCTTGCCGAGACCCAGCGACCTAGGCTCGCACGCGAAGGGATTGGCAAACAACCCCTCCTTCCGAGCGAAAAGGATGTGCGAGGGTCGTACAAAAAGCCAGGGGAACTCCTGATCGCCCTCTCGCTACGTGCGGAGGCTCGGGGGCTCTTCCTGCAACCTTGCCGAGACCCAGCGAACTAGGCTCGCACGCGAAGGGCTCGACAAACAACCCCTCCTTCCGAGCGAAAAGGATGCGCAAGGGTCGTACAAAAAGCCAGGGGAACTCCTGATCGCCCTCTTGCTATGTGCGGAGGCTCGGGGGCTCTTCCTGCAACCTTGCCGAGACCCAGCGAACTAGGCTCGCACGTGAAGGGCTCGGCAAACAACCCCTCCTTCCGAGCAAAAAGGATGCGCGAGAGGTCATACAAAAGCCAGGGAACTCCCGACGCCCTCTCGCACGCTGCGGAGGCTCGGGGCTCTTCCTGCAACCTTGCCAAGACCAGTGACCTAGGGCTGCATGCGAAGGGCTTAGCAAACAACCCCTCCTTCCAAGCGAAAAGGATGCGCGAGGGTCATACAAAAAGCTAGGGGAACTCCTGATCGCCCTCTCGCTACGTGCGGAGGCTCGGGGGCTCTTCCTGCAACCTCTCACACCCCGAGGGTCAGAAAAACGCGACGAAAAAGGGCACCAAGCCCATTACGATCTAGGGGTACAAAGGCTGGGCCATCCAGGGCCTCGACAGCCGCCCAGGACAATAGAGTCAGGGACAACTATGGGCGAGCCCGTACACAGCCGAGGCCCAGGCAAGCGATTGCTTGGGATGCCCTAAGTCATGTCCGAGACCAGCAGGAGTTCTCTAAAGGGGATCCCACCGTAGGGAGGCACCGAGCCCCTAGGGCCAATCGAACGGCCCTGGCACCCGCTAGAGAAGCCTTCTGGTACTTTTTTGGAGTGCGTCTCTGGACCACTAGCCGACCCCTATCGAATAGGGCATGAGCCTCCACTCGGACTTACCCGATAAAAGCTCACCGAAAATGTCACCGCTCGCGCCCACCGAGGGTAGCCTGACATGTTCCACCCCTCCTTCCGAACGAAAAGGATGCGCGAGGGGTCGTACAAAAAGCCGGGGAACTCCTAATCGCCCTCGCGCACGCGGCGGAGGCTCGGGGCTCTTCCCGCAACCTTGCCGAGACCAGTGCCTAGGCTCGCATACGAAGGGCTCGCAAACAACCCCTCCTTCCAAACGAAAAGGATGCGTGAGGGTCGTACAAAAAGCCAGGGGAACTCCTGATCGCCCTCTCGCTACGTGTGGAGGCTCGGGGGCTCTTCCTGTAACCTTGCCGAGACCCAGTGGCCTAGGCTCGCACACGAAGGGCTCGGCAAACAACCCCTCCTTCCGAACAAAAAGGATGTGCGAGGGTCGTACAAAAAGCCAGGGGAACTCCTGATCGCCCTCTCGCTACGTGCGGAGGATCGGGGGCTCTTCCTGCAACCTTGCCGAGACCCAGCGGCCTAGGCTCGCACACGAAGGGCTCAGCAAACAACCCCTCCTTCTAAATAAAAAGGATGCGCGACGGTCGTACAAGAAGCCAGGAGAACTCCTGACCGCCCTCTCGCTCCGTGCGGAGGCTCGGGGGCTCTTCCTGCAAACCTTGCCGAGACCCAGCGACCTAGGATCGCACGCGAGGGCTCGGCAGGCTCGGGGGCTCCTCCTGCACCCCAAACGAAAACAAGCGACCCGAGCTCGCTCTCATGGGTCTAGCGAATGCGATAGAGCGCCTTACTCAATGAAGAAAAAGCCCCTAAAGGAGTAAACTCACTCCTCTAAGGCCTCGGGGCTACACCGGCCAGAGGCTTCAGGCGCACCACCAGAATCGCGAGTATAAAACAAACCCGACAAGAGCCACTGAGAAACAAGAGTCTCGAAAAAACCTCGGGGAGAGTATCCCACACTCCCGCCCGAGGCTCGGGGGCTACTGTCGGATACCAGAAAATGGGGTACCCCAAGCAAAGATCGAAAAAATGCTTAGACCCTAAGAACAGAACCAATGGAATAAACAAACGAGGTCTCGGCCGAAATCTCCGATTCGCCCGAGACCCCGTCGCCGAGCCCCAGCAGAAGCGAACGATTCTCCGACTCACCCGAGACCGCCTTGCCGAGGCCCCCTCGTCGAGGCCCCCTCGCCCGGGGCCTCGGAAGAAGTGCCGATTCTCCGATTCGTGCGAGGCCGGCTCGGCACCAGCCCCGTGACCGCCTCTTCGACCAAACTGCTCTGACCGAACGTCGCATCCAAGCGCCCAACCACTCCGACAGACGCACGATGGCACAGTACAGCGAAGTGACCGACTACACGCCAGTCGTGTCAACCTCCTGCCATCTACGACGGCACAGAGAGGGGTTACCGACCAGCTGTCTTTGCCTAACTCCTGCGCCAAGGACATCATAGCGTGGGGAGTCAAAGCGGGTTCTCGCAGCCTCGGAATCGGTGGACCGATCGCTCCGGCTCGCCCGAGCCCCCTCGATAGGGCCTCAGATTCGCGATCTTACTCCGCCTCGCCCGTCGCCTCGCGCCGAGACCCCCGGTAGGGGCCCTCGGACAATTGGCGCGCTCGCCTCGCCTCGAGGCCGGGCGCAAATCCCGCAACCTCGTCGCCTCCGCCTCAAAGGTCTCTCGGCGGCTGTCGCATCCAATTAATCGCGCTCATTTGCACCGCTTCGTAAGCCACGATCGGCGGTCTTGGCTGCAACAGAGCGACGGGACAACGGTCGATCACCTTTTTACCATCCCTTCATCGACAATATGGTATCAGTATCTCGTAGGGCGTCGTCTCGCACTATTCCGCTCGATGGCGGCTGAGACCCGCATCGCACTGGTCACTTCTCAGGCCTCAAGACGGCGAGCCTCGGCTGCAACAGGCCTCGGCGCGACCCGGCTACGATGGCGCCGAGCCTCGCAATCCACCAAGTCAACAAATGCGCAGCATGTTACTTGCAGTGGAGACCATACCGATTAGACATCTACGGGAACTCCCATGACAACGCCATGCTGCTCCAGGAGTAAATACGTCATCGAATAGTCCGCTCCACGTGTAGCTCTCTTATGTACTCCTGGTTTCCTCCATGCGGCTATAAAAGGAGGCGGCCAAGACCGTTTCTAGGGACGGCGGATAGAGTCACGAATACTCGCACGAACAATATGCCTCATTCTGTAATTCATATCACCTCCCCTCACAGAGACCTAGGACGAACTCCCTCTCTCGCCTAGCTTGTAACCCCCTACTACGAGCACCCCGGTGCGAGGAATACAAGAACATCTTCTCAGACTGGACGTAGGGCATCCATTGCCCGAACCAGTATAAATCTTGTGTCTCTTTGCATCACCATCCGGAATTGGGAGCACGCAGCACAAATTCACTAGTCGGTTAAGGACCCTCGGTTCCGAAACACCGACACTATGAATACATTATTACCGAGGGAAAAATTATCCATAAGCAATCTGGAGAACCACTTGATACAAACCAAGGTCCTAAAGAGGCTTATTGGATTTTTGTCATGAGCACAGCAAGAAGACTTTATGCTGGCAAGGTAGCTTGTCTACTTTTACTAGGATTTCCATGTGCGCATTGCTAAGAAACAGTCTTTTATCATATTTGTTTTAGCTTATGATTTGGACCACTACCTATCTCTATAACCTGATTTATTCATCTAGAAGGAGAAAGGTGTATTTCAGCACTCTAGCTTTTTAACAGGAGGTGCCACCATAGCGGCTGGGAAATTTACTGTAAAAGCTGGAGTAATCAAGGTAGTATTGTTGTGCAATAATGCCCTATGAAAACTTGTGCTTTATTGTGATATAATTAATTATTGGTTCAAGAAACTTTATTGGTATCATATTCTTATGTAACATAGTGCTATCCACCCTCCCTCCCATCCTAGTATTTCTTTCCTAGCTATTCCTTGGTTTCATGTCTATTGTATACATTTTCTAGATTACATGCAATATTTACCTTGGATTAGTGGATATTTGAAAAATATATGATGTGATTTCTGGAGTTAGAATAGCATAAAGGTATGTTGTATATTTCTTACTATACTTTTCGATTTGCTACTTATCAAGCTAATGGACAATAGAACATCGACTTTGTTTCCCTATTTCCTTTTTAGCCATGAGCACAGAGGATCTCAATATAGTGGTCAGTCCCTATTTCTTACTATACTTTTCGATTTACTATCTTATCTTGATCAGTCCATCTGGGCATATAGTGGTCACTACAAACCAAGCACAGAGGATCTCAATAATTTCATGAAATTTCTAGACGAAAATGGAGTTAATCTCAAAGAAATTGAGGTACATCAATGCAACCATAACTTTGACTTACCTATACATGTCCGCCTAGATGGTTTTATTATATATATGGAGCTTATTTTGGTTATTCAGATGCGGCCATTCACCAAAGAAGACTACCATGATGGTACAATGCCTAATGAAGCACAAAACGTTGTTGTTGTTACCAATCCTTCGCAAGTGATTCTCTCTACAGACACAAAGGAAGGTGGTGAAGGCAAGGATGCTCCAACAGAACAAGCAAAGCTAACATACCGTAGAACCTTGTCAGGTGGTCTACACAGCCCCAAAGGCACCGATGTCCCTCAGAAGCCAATTCTTGAGAGGATTAAATCCAAGAGTGAGACTGAATCTTATCAGCTTGGCCTCAAGTTATCCCTAAAATGGAGCACTGGAGCTGGCCCCAGAATTGGATGTGTGAAGGATTATCCAACAGAGCTTAGAATGCAAGCTCTTGAAATGGTACACCTACTAACAGGGGCATCGACAGTACCACATACGTCGTTGCTCGCACAAGCTCAAGAATGTCATGACCCGGCTAGCTGGTTAGAAGCCTAGAAGATCTTATCACACGTGCACTGCATGATCAAATAATGTGCTTGACAACAAGAAACCTATGCAGTTCGTCTGTTGGAAAATGTAACTATAAAGCTGCATTGTGATTGCGTTGTGTGCTGGAAGGATTTCTTGGTTCTTCCTTTGAATTTGCTATATTAAAAAGTTCACCAAGTGTCACAAGTTATCGATTTAAGTTGCTGTAGAAATAGTGTGAGACCCTGTTTGATACTATGGCCAAAGTTTAGATACTAGACTTTGGACACTTTGGACCACTTTAACTCTTGAGGCTTCAAATTTAACATCTAAAGTTATGTTTAAAATTTAGCCAGCCTCACAAAACTTTTTGACCACACAAGTCAGCTAAAAATGGTCTAAACTTTAGATCATAGGATCCAAACATACCCTTAGAAGTCCTGTGGACCTTGGTATGTCCGTGTTCCTGGGCATTGCTACCGTAGCCTTCGCCAACCTCATTGTCTTCATCAAACTCGTGCACACGGACACGGCCTCGCCAGCAGTCACACCGGTGGCGGAACCGGGATTTTTAGTTAAGGGGGACTAACAATACGATGACACCTCATAAATATAATAAATATATATATCAAATGTATGTTTCAATAGCTTTTCAATGTATTTACATATATATTTTGTATTCATAAAAAATATGTGAAATAATAAGGAAGCACGTCACGCACGTGCCAGCCATCATCCGCGCGCTCGTCGGATGCGTCTAGTTTGTCATCCGAGTCCCGGATCAGAGTTCACACTATATATTCCCCTTTTGCTGCTCAAGTCGAGCCAGTCGCTGCTCACACTTGTGCCTAGCCTCGATGTAGCAGTCCTCGATCTCGCGTGCCTCTCGCGTTCTTGGACGCACAATCGGCATCATCATGCAAGGCGTAAGTGAGGCCTCCCTGGTGGCATTTTTTTTGGTTTTTTTTTAAAAATTGGTGTTCAGCGTCGAGTGATTATTGAAGCCGGTGGTGATATTAACTTATCATTGTCGCATGATTGCTGAAGCGGTGATTCTGCCATTCTGGTTGTAAACCAGCGATAATAACCAACGCGAGGGTGGAAACTGAAACCGACGATGATTGGACCACCCAACTCGGCGGTGATGAAAATTTTGGAGTAGTGTATGGTTCATGAGCAGAAGATCACAGCATCAAGGAGATGATGAAAGCAAGCGCTCTTGAAATAGAATTAAGCTTTTTTTAGAAAGAACAGAATTAAGCCTTTGTATATCTGGGAGTTCAAGCGGGTTTGTCACCACCATGAGGTCACATGAGTGAAGCGCATGGTGTCAGTCATATCACGCAGAACATGAGTCACCTCTGAGATGGCACTATCATCACGCTTAGTCCTCTTCACTTTTTCAGGCGTGCTAGCAGCAGGCCGCTTACTAGATGAGCTTCCCCCATTATTGTCATCCTCTTTAGCCAGGCACTCTTAATCGTACTGCAAACCTGGGTGAACATCCTCACCATGATTCGCATTCTTATCACCAATTAAATCTCCATTTTGAGTGGAAGGAAGATCGTATAGTGCTTGTAGAACACTGAACTCCCCAGTTGCATGCTTGTCTTGAACAATGAATTCCATCTCATCATAGCAATGGATGGGGACGTTTATAAACTTCGCCCTTGGATCTTTGTCCTGCACATGTCCAGTCTTAATTTCATACTTTACTATAATACATAAGTAACATAACTAAATCAAATTTATAAGGACAGAAAGACTTACATTATGCATCCTGACAACCTCTTTTTCATCATAAAGTATCATTTTCTTAACATCATCAAAGTTTGCTCCGTTTAAATTCTTTGCTTGCAGTATAACCTTCCATTGACCTTTCAGCTTATGATACTTGTGGTAAACTTGTCGCTGAGTGAAATTTGTGTGATACTTTACATTAATCTGTTTTGCGCACTCCTCGTGATGTACCTCACGAAAAACAAATAGTCTTCCCTCAGCTTGTATCTTCTCTTTGTAGCATCGTAGCATGTCCTCCATCACCTGGGGCTGCCACACAACGTTGTTTCCTGCCATCCTTGCATGTGAAAGTACTTAAAGTATTTTGGGAGATGACAAAATTCATATACCTCATATGGCTATGTGGATGTAAGATACTTCATGTAAAGAAACTAAATTTCATTCAGAGAAATCCATGTATACAATAAAAAGGACTACTTTACATTGCAACATAAAAATAATAAATAGTTTCATAGATGACTGAAAACACACATCAGCCATGCCTAACATTGTTCCTATTTCTCCACATGCTATTACCTATGACATCCCTGTCTCGGAGTACTTCCCTCTGTTCCTCACGTAAATCTTGTTGAACATGTCCAGCTGTTCTTGGATAGTTCTCAAACCAACTTTGTTCGCTATAGACTAGTTCATCAGGTCCTTCATTTTATAATATCCAGTTATGAAGAATACAGCATGCTATGACAACTCGTACTTGTGAAGGGAAGGGATAATATGGTCTTGTTGTCAACACTTTGAAACGATTTTTTGGTGTCCCAAATGCTCTCTAGATAGTAACTCGGAGGGATGAGTGCTTTAGGTTGAATAGCTCATTTGCTGTCCGCGCTCTATTGCCCCTCCACTCATGCAAATGGTATCAAGTTTGATGAAAAGGAGGTAGAAATCCTCTCCTTGCTGCATAGCCCGCATCTGCAAGGTAGTATTTACCTACCAGGCCATTGGGAACACAATTAATATCACTAAGTTGTATATGTAAGTGTTCCAAAGGTAGATTAGACACCAACCTTCAGGGACTCGAAGGCCATTTGGATGCTCAAGAGAATGTCGTAGGACCCCTCCCAACCAGCACTTACACATGTGAACATCAAATCAAAATCGACCGTTGCAAGAACATTTTGGGTAGGAAAAACTTTCTACCACGGAACCTACCTACAATCCTTGATGGAACATTACAAGGAATGTGGGTACCATCAATTGCGCTGATGCAATCCTAGCCATCCAATTGGTATAGGAACGTAAGTACATACTAATATATTATTAATAGGCTATTTTGATATAAAATAGAGAAGGGCCATACCTTAAAATAGGGATCAAATCGAGGGTTGCCTACAACTATTGTTGGTATAGCGAGAGAGCGATGTCTAAGAGCATCTCCAAGAGTTCCCCATATTCCTTCCTCATCCATGTTTTTTGGGGAAAAAAAGAGAAAAACTCATGTCCAAGAGTACTCCATATCCCTTTCCCATCTTTTGGCTTTGTCAAACCGACCGCCATCGTGGGTAAAAATGTGCGGACCATAGTCGCGCGTATCCGCAATTTCCCCGCGCCGTCCCTTCCTTCCCGCGACAAGTTCCCGTGTGTCCTGTCCTTCGTGCCATAGCCCAGGCTCCATCCAGGGGAAAGGATCTTTGACGCCGCCGACCTAGGGTTGAGGTATGCCATGGATCTACTCGTCTAGTGCTTTCCCGGTCGCTAGGGTTTTCATAGCCGTCGCCTGGAGTCCATGGCCGTCGCTGGCCACGGCAGCAGCAGCCATAGCCTGCCACAGCTGCCTCCTGCAGGGGAAGGCCTGGCCGCAGCCATGTTTGGCCTAGCAGAGGGCGCAGCTTGCCGCCCCTGCTTGCCTGCGCCTAGCCGTGGCTGCCGGCCACCGGCTGGCCTGGGTCTCCCTTGGCCTGGAGATTGTGTGTGGCTTCGGTCCGCACGCTGGGTGGTACATTGGCCTTGCCCGGGAAGCCTACCCTCCCTCTCAGCTGTGGGTCGTGACATGGCCCCTCGATTCTGAATTTCTGATTCTACGCAGCGCGCTGTTCCTTTCTACTGTATCGAGCGGCCTCCCATAGCTTTGTGCAGACAATCAATACAAGCGTGTGATGTTCAGACTTCAGACTGCCTGCCATAGTGTAGATCTTTGACATTTTTTTTCAATATATGCTGATCTCTGATGGTGTAAAAATTATTCTCTTATACATGATTATGGGCATTGATTTATTCGTGAATTCTTGTAGGATCCTCCCAATGTCGGGGTGGATTTTGGACAAACATGGTCACGAGAGTTGATGATGGTGCTGGTTTGGAAGACTTCACTTTTCCCGTGACACAGGAGACCCAGGAAATTAATGAGATGCCTACTGAAGTTCAGAAGTTGATGTGCAGGCACGTGAAGGTGCTCCACGCCGTCGCAGTACAAGGCCTTATTCGAAGAGGACAAAAATTTTTGATCCGAAGGAGGATAAAGTTGTTGTGTCAGCATGGTTGAGTGTTAGCAAAGATCACGGGGCTAATCAATCTCGTGCCTCCTTTTGGAGTCGAATTCATGAGCCAAGTAATCTTGAAACATCCTTTGTTGTCTGCCTTCTCTATCTCGATAAATAACTATATGGTCTAGGACCGAACCACCATATCTTCCTCTTTGATTCGAATATGTTTGCACAATTTAAGCTGCTGAGAAGATCAAATATTCATCGTCGTCTGATGATTAATCATTCAATTCTCTTTGTAGTAGTGATTTGTGATCACTCATGACCAGCGTGTTCGCTGGTTAGTTTCTGGGCTGGTTTGGGCTGGCTGGTGCTGGTTTGTTGTGAGAGGAAAATACTGTTGGCTGGTTGAATAAGCCTGGCTGAAACCAACAAGCAAACAGGGTGGACGTCTAACGCGGAGGGCTCGCTAGGAGGTGCCTGTGGCCGGCCTGTTGGAGGGCGCGACAAGGTAGGAGGAGGCAGCGGCCGGCTAGGAGGTGCCTGCTGTCGCCTGGGATGTGGCCACAGCCAATAGGGAGGAGGCAGCGATGGGATACACGCGACCGATGTAGGTTTCTACGCGACGGATCAAACTCGCGGGGAAAAGATGCAAAAAAAAGTTCTAGGGCCAAAATTTATTTTTTTGGAAGCCATTTATTGGAAACTCTTGGCGATGGTCTTCTTTTATCCTCACAATACATTTTCGGGAGTTGTAAAACTACATGTTTTGGGGAGGAAAAAATAAGGTACTCCTGGGGATGCTCTAAGCATTTCAGGTCCAAGTTGTCCAATTGCATATAAAACTTGATTGAGGCCGCCGTAAAAAAAAAGGCTAACAGTTTCGCCTGACCCTTGTGAAATGAAAACTAATATCACCGTTATTCTTATGATGTTCTACAGTAGGGAGAAACATGGCAATTTGTTCCTGTATGGTACAATGCCAAGTATCGCTAAGTGCTCCCATAGTACGCAGTTTTAGACACAGCTTGAAAAACACCGACTTTCAGGTTAAAAAAAACACCGACTTTCCCATGCGCAACTCTGACCTGGCGGCCTGAGTCGTGCTAACATGACCTGGCCGGTCGCTGTTCCACGGTAGCTGGCACGGGCCGAAGTATAGCCCACCAAAACGCTGGTTCGTTTCGGGCTGAAAGCAGCCCAACAAGGATGAGGCCTACACTTGCGTTGCTGGGCTCATTCTTTGGAGTCAAGCATCCAACATTGCGGTGGATTCTTCAGTGGCTGTATTTTTTTTAAAACGTTACTATTCATTAATTAATCGACACAAAAAGAAAAAGAATCGCTGTTTGGATCATGTTTAAGTCACTAGTGGGGCCTGGCCCATGTCTCTCTCAGGTGTCACTACATCTGAGATCACCTACAGGGGAAGATGCAGTCACGTCGTTCTCACATGACCGTGCATCCGGTGGAGTTCCTGCTCTCTTTTTTTTTCTTCCCTTTTTCGGGAGGGAGGGAAGGTGCCTGCTTTGGGTTAGCGACTTTCGCCTGCGTCAACGGTATATGCGTCTGCTTTTTGCATGATCATTGTAACTGCAGTTCCTGCGCCCTTTATCCAGCCCTTTACCTCCCATAACCCAGCCGCTGGTATATGCGTCTGCTTTTTGCAGTGTGCAGCAGCTACCATCTTTACCTCTTTGGTGAACCAACAATACATTCCGATCCATGCTCCCCATCTTTTTACCTTTTATACTGTACCTGAGCAGCAACAGGTAAAGGTAGCTCAGCGATCGGGCGGTCGGCGATGCACCACGGCTGCATTGCATCTGCTGCAGTCTAGAAGTAGGCGCCCACCGGTGCAGACGCGCGGCAGTACGTGTTTGATGTTTCAGCCGACGTGCACGAGCGCGGCGCGCCGGAATCTCCGGGCCACTATCCCCACTGGCCACTGCGCCCCTCCCTCATCATCACCTCGGCGTCTCGTGCCCCTCGGTTAGAGCCCAAAGCCTCAGCCCTGGCCCAGTCCACGCCCCGGCCGGCAGCCCAGCACCGCGTATCATTCGCATGCCCCATGTCTGATGCCTGCATCCCCCACCATTCTGGAGTATCACGATGAGCAGCTTCGCCCAATGACTTTGTACTATCTTGCTTGGAACATACTAATACAAATCCTGAGGTCCTGCTTGGAACACAAGACGTTCGTTCACCTCTGACATTTCCTGCGTTCCAAGCAGAACCCCGTAACATATATTAGAACCTCTGTACATATAACTCCTCCTTATCCCCTTAATGAATGGCAGAGCTCCTGCCCTTACTTAAAAAAAAAAAACATATATTAGAACAAGAACGCTACAGGGGCAGGGTTGTACTGACCAAGGCAGCCAGGCGTCAATGGCACGGCGCGCGGCCGCCAGGTTATGACATGCGTGCTGCAGCCAGGCAACAACAAGAAACGGACACGAGCTCTCTCGGAGTCGGAGACACGCAGCCGGCAGCCACTTGAGGCGACAGCGCGCCCTGCCTCCTCCGTCAGCCCGTCCGTCCGGACGCCTCGTGCGCGCCATGCGCCGTGGTCCATCCGTCCCCCACCACGTGCACGCGCCTGGCCCCCGCCGGACTCGGACAAGAGGAGGTGCCTGCCTGATTGGGGCCCACCCCACCCCATCCCGGCGACACGACTGAACCGACCAACCGACCCACCGACCGACCGGCAGGGCCGCGCGCGGCTTCTTCCTCGTGCGCGCACGCCCGTACGACCAGCGCCGGACAGACACGGCCGACGCTTCTTCTCCCTGGCTTCTTCTTCCTCTAGTAGTACTCCACGGGCGTGCCAGGACAACTATCGTCCGACACGTCGCCGTCATCGTCGCCGCAGTCGCCCTTGCCGTTGCTCCCGCCACCACCAGCCTTGTTGGCGACGCTGAAGGGCGGCGGCACGTAGGGCGGCGTGGCGCAGCGGAGGAGCGCCCAGTTGACGCCGGCGAAGAAGGGGTGGCGCTTGATGGCGGCGGCGCCAACGGTGGCGCCGAGCCTGCGGGCGGGGTCCTTGGCGAGCAGCGCGGTGACGAGGTCCCTGGCGGCCGACGACACGGCGGGGTCCCGGGGAAACTCGAGCGCGCGCGCCACGATGTTGGCCAGCGTCATCTCGTTGTCGTAGCCCTTGAAGGGCGTGACCCCGTACAGGAGCTCGAAGACGAAGACGCCCAGCGTCCACCAGTCCACGGAGCTGCCGTGCCCTTCCCCGGACACGATCTCGGGCGCCAGGTACTCGTGCGTGCCCACGAACGACATCGACCGCAGATCCACCGGCTCCGCCACGAACTCCAGCTCCAGCCCGCTGCCACCACTGCTGTTGCCGCCGTTCGACGTCGACGACGGTTTCTTGACGCGCCAGCGCCGGCGCCGGCGCCCGCGCCCGCGGCCCGGGAAGAGCTGGAAGCAGGAGGCGGCGGGGACGATGCAGGAGGAGATGGCGCAGGACGTGGAGGTGGCGGGGCGGGCGGCGAGGGAGAGCGGGTCGGAGATGACGTGCGCGGGCGTCGGCGCCGTGGGGTCGCACTTGAGGGAGAGGTCGAAGTCGGTGAGCATGATGTGGCCGTCGGCGCGGACCAGGACGTTCTCCGGCTTGAGGTCGCGGTACACGATGTCCATCATGTGGATGTACTCCAGCGCCGCCGCCACCTCCGCCGCGTAGAACCTGCGTGCGTGCACCCGTCGTCAGTCGTCGTGCATTTTTAGCTATAGTATATTATTACTAGATTTGTTATAAACATTCGTCATCACTTGGCAACGCCATCATGCAATGTACTGGGAGATTGCTCAGAGTTTATCTCAAAGTTTCAGTTCATTTCATCATTCAGCAAAGCCATCACGCATGCGTACATTGCCTGTTTGCTCTGCATGACCATGATTGCAAGCTTTACATTGAGCACGCATCATCAACAACTGCAATTGCATACTACTCACGTCTGTACTGTCGACTGTAGTAGAAAAGCTACTTCTTCTTTTTTTGATAAGCTAGAAAAGCTACTTGCAAGCGAGGCGCGTGTGCTGTGTCTGAATCAAGTGCAACGACTAACGACAAAAGAGCCCACTCCAGACCGCTAGACGGCCACGCCGCACCTGTGCAACGACTAACGACAAGGGTGAGGCGCGTGTGCTGTGTCTGAATCAAGTGCCGGCATGTTGGATACGACTGTATGCTCGGCTCCAGCTCCAGCGCAGCATGCATGCGAACGGAAAACGGGAGCAAGGGTCACACGTAGGTAGGTGGGCAGCAGAGCAGACGGCGGAAAAGGCACCGGACAGTGCTCGAATTGGCGCATCATGGCTGTTGGAAGCTGCACGGTGGGGGCATCACACAGTCTCGTGGGTCTATGCTATAGCTGCAGCGAAGGGAGGGACCCCATGTGTGCACGCATGGCCAGTGCCCAATTGCCAATCCCTTCCTTGGGTTAAACTAGGCTAGAATCCTTTTACAAGAACTGCAAGTGCCTAGCGCATGTGTGGATCAATGGTTAGGCCCCGTTTAGATCAAAAAAAATTTGGATTTTGGCTCGATGTAGCATTTCATTTGTACTTGATAATTAGTGTCTAATTATAGACTAATTAGGTTTAAAAGTTTCGTCTCATGATTTCTCACCCAACTGTACAATTAGTTTTTTTTTGTCTATATTTAGTACTCCATACATGTGACGCAAGATTCTATGTGACGGGTACTACATAAAAAAAAATTTGGAATCTAAACATGCCCTTAGTTAACTGAATCCCTCGTTGGCTGAGATTAGTAGATTAGTCCCGCAAGAAATGCCCTACAGAACCCAACCTATAGTAGCTAATTACTCAGTCAGACCTACTGACCTAGGTGTACGTGTATGTGCTTCAGAGCTGTCATTCTCGAGGATCACATGGGGTGGGGGTTAATAAAGGCCTCCTTGACCAAAGCCATGTTTAGTTGCCCCAAATTCCAGAATTTGGCACTATGCAAAAAGAAGATTCCTCGTCACATCAAACTTGCGGTACATGTATAGAGTACTAAATATTGATAAAATCAAAAACTAATTGCACAGTTTGGTTGTACTTTGCGAAACAAACGTTTTAAGCCTAATTAGTCAACGATTGGACAATTATTACCAAATAAAAACAAAATACTACAGTGTAGCTACAGTGTCCATTTTTCAGACGGCGCCGAATCAGGCAGCGAACTAAACGCGGCCCAATGCAAACTAAGCAAGTGCGTACAATTATAAACAGAGCATCAGTAACTACCGTACTGATTGCACTGCATGGGTAGTGACGGTGTCACGTTCCCGGGCGGAACGGCCGGCGTGACTCCAGCACCTCCTGCGCCTGCGCCGCCGCCGCCGCCGCCGCAGCGCACGGGGGGCGCCGCTCGTGCGCTCATGCCCGTCGCCATCAGTCAGCGCGGCCCCGGCCGCCGTACCATGTGCGCGCCACGATGAGCCGCGCGTGCAATCGATGGAGCGGCCGTAGCAGCAGGCAGCACGTGCCCCACTGTTGCAACCAGCCAACCAACAACTACGGTCAGTCTACAGTCTTAGCGTAGGGAACTAGTAGGTACTCGTACTACGTACGTGTCTTGGCTGGTGCTGCCGTGCTGGTAGTATAGTAAAGTGAGGTCTTCTGCAAGCCAAAGTAAAATCCTGCATCCGTGAATGTACGTACTCTACGGGATGTATAATACGTGCTGCTACCGCTGGTTACCGTACGTACTGATGAAGGCAGTAAACAGAATCTGGGTCCTGCGTGCCTCTACCTACGCTACGCAGGACAGGGTTTGCAGGTTTGCAATTGCACGACGACGACTGGTGCAAGCGCATGTGGCACGCACACAGCTTTTACTACTTCCCGCATGGACAGTGAGCTCCATCCATCCAGTCCTCAACTCTAACGAACGCAAGTCTCTGCATTTTTCTCTGATGGATGATGCCACAAACGTGGTGACCATGGTGGACAAGTGTTTCCTGATCTGGTCTCCAAACCATCTTTCTTTCCCCTTCTTTCCGTTGCCTTTATTTCTAAAAAAAGTCAGGTAGTATCCAAATTTTCCTCATCATCAATCAAATAGAGAAAAAAAGGTCTTGTGTGTGCGGCAGCGACCTGATGCTACGCTGTAGTGTGTGTGCGTGTGTTGGTCACGATGAAACGCTTTCATCATTCAGCAGGTTTCAGAGTAGGGAGGAAACCAGGCGGATGCGTGCCCAACCGAAGACACATGGGGCCCCGACTGCATCCACTGGATCCTTAAACTACACCACCAGCAACACCCCAAAGGAAACAAAATCAAGTAGTAGAATAGTAGGAAAATTTTATTAGGCAAGGAAACAGACAGAGCGCCGCGGCAATCACAACCCGCAGGAAACCTGCCTGATTCTTCTCCTCCGAAAAAGCCTAGAATCGCTAGCTTACTAGCCACGGATCGTCAATGGAGCCCAAAACACATTTATTTTTATTTATTTTTTGAAAAATGTTCATACGATCTTCAAATTCAGTAACTACTACTAGTAGTACTAGTACGGATTTGAAATGCACGCATAAATGATTTTCGTTGTTGCGCGAGTAATAAGAAAAAGAAATGCTGATCACGGCGGCGGCGAACGAAGGTTTGGCATGGCGCAGGGGGGGAGAGAGAGAGTGGGCGACGCACCTGACGGCGGCCTCGGAGAAGCGTCGGTGCGGTTGGCGCTGGCGGAGGACGTGGAGGTCGCCGCCGGGGCAGAACTCGGTGAGGAGGCAGGACCAGCGGTCCCCTTCCGCGACGCCGTAGAGGCGGGGCAGGAACGGGTGGTCGACGGCCTCCAGGATCTCGCGCTCCGTGCGGGCGCGGCCCTCCTTGTTGCGGCCCTCCAGCTCCTTCCGGTCCATCACCTTGGCGGCCACCACCAGCGGCGGCGGCGGGTGTTGGTCCTTCTCCTTGTCCTCCGCCTTGGCGGCGGCGGCGGGTGGCCTGACCTCGGCCAGGTACACGCTGCCGATGTCGCCGGCGCCGAGGCGACGCAGGAAGCGGATGTCGGAGAGGGCGACGGCGCCGAGGCGCGGGATCTGCGTGGGGAGGGTGGTGGCGGAGGTAGTGGAGGCGGGGGTGGTGGGGGCGCGGCGAGAGGGAGGGGGCGGGAGCGAGAGGTGGTGGTGGAGTGGCCCCGACGAGGAGGTGGAGCAGGACGCTGTCGCGGTGGAGACTGTTGAGGCGGACCGCGAGCGCGAGCGGTCCGAGGAGGAGCCGAAGCTCAGGCTCTGCAGCCCGTCCGCCGCGATGTCCGCGCCCATGCCCGTGCCCCCCGCGGCGTTGTCGTCCGGTGGCATCGCGGATGGCGCGGTGGTAGTGCTGGTTCGGGGGTGGAGGGAGTGAGCTGCTGGACAGGGCCACAGGGGAGGTGGAAGGACCCGAAGAAGCGCAGAGCAGAGGAGAGGAGAGGAGAGAGGTGGTGGTGGGGATTTTAATTTGAAGGGGACACGAGGGAGGTGGTGTGGGGCGGTGATTGGATGGTGATGGGCCCGGCCGGAATTCCGTGAGACCCGTTTCATTTCTAATCGGTTTCTGGCTTCTGTTTGTTTTTTTATTTTACTTTAATAATAATATATAATGGTACAAATATACTACTGGAAGAATTCCGGTTCCGGGGAACATGCAGGCCCTGTTCTCCGGGGGCGAGATCTCGTTTGTTTCCTTCGTCGCACTGTCGATGGGTGCATGGAGGAACATTCCACCGTGATTAGATAGATTCGACTCCAATTAACTTTACGATCAAGATGGATGCTATGCTGCTTTCCGTTCCTTAATTTACTTGCATCAGTGACTTTGACCTAATGGCTTTGCCTTTCTGCATTGCATTAGTTATATCGTCGCTTATTATGAAGTGTAGGCTGCAGTAGCTTACGGCCGGGAAAGCCTATGGTTTGCCGTCCGTGCATGCATCATCAGGGCCGCTTGACCATTTGCTGTTGTCTGTCAAGCTTGCATGGTCTCTCATCTCAAAATCCCATCGCATCTCGTGATGTGAAGCAACGACTCTCATCTCTCAAATAATCAATCAGGCCCGCCTAATAACAACCTAGCAGGTTGTAGGGTGTTTAACTCCAGGTTGGACGGACGTTTGCGTTTGGCGCCACGCGCACGAACCCCTCGCGCTGTCGACGCGGTGGCACCAAGACTAGACTAGAGCCGTGCTACCGCTACCGCGTAGTATTGCAGGACCACGATGGCTGTGTTCGGCTGGGCTTCATTGCCTGGCTGGGCTGGTTTTGGCTGGATTGAACAGCCCAGCCGTTCGGTGGCCCAGCACCACTCGAATGACTGATCTACAAGCCGACTCTCAGCTCCGCTTTGCACTATCTCCCATCGTCCTGTTCCCCTGATAGCCGCCAGGATTCCGCTCGCGCGCCACTCACCCTCTCACCTCCGCGCCAGCCGCGGCGGCCGTGACCTCCGCTTCGTCGAGCCTGCCCCGGCCGCCGTAAGCGGATCCATCCCTGCCCGCCTCGCAACGCCGTGAGGGCGCACCGTCGACAGCCTTCCGCGCCGACCGTCTGCTCCGCATCCCTCCCCGAACTTGTCGCCATCGACGCCCGTCCGCCGGCGACAGGTAAACCCGCTTACACGTCTGGCGTCGTCCCTCCCCCTCCGGATCTGACCCCACATTCTCGTTTTGCAGGTGAGTCCAGACCGCCGCCCACGGATCTCCATCTCAGCAGCCCAGAATCGCCTTCCGCCCGCAAGTGCTGCATCTCAGATCGCCGGAATCGCCTGCCGCCTCGCCGGATCCGGTGACCCTAGGTTCGTTCTCGTAAACCTGCGTCCCAACTCTCCCTACTCATTGCCTCCGTACCGCGCCCTGCCGCCACTTTCCCCACGCCCCTTTTGTCCTTCCCCTCCACCGCCGCCTCCCAGGATTCGAACCCCTAGCCGTCCATTGGTTCATAGGTTTTGTCGATCTATGTTCTCTCGCGCCCCTTTTGTTCTTATTCATTGTTTGTTTTGTGTGGTGGTCTACTTTTGGTTTGATTTGAATGTGGTTTTGCCATCTCAAATTTGTAACTCATGTTCAGGTTGTAGGTTCAATTGTAGTTTGATTTCATTTGTTTTCTAGGGTTTGTCTGTGGGGGAAAGGGCACGCTGGGATCCGAGCTCCCATGTTCGTCTCACCTCCGTGGAGCGAAATGCATAGACTCATGGTGGACCCTTTTCTTTAAGTGTACCATTTCTCAATTTGGTTGTGGTAGTATGAGCAGTGCCTATGTAATCTTGTACTGCCTGACACTTGCCATTTGCTACTGTAATGGATCAATTGATGGGGAGTGCACCTTGCTTTAGTTGATCCTTTGATTTTAGTGATGATTATATACCCTTCAAAGCCAAACAAAACCTTCATATTTGTCTGTTCAAATTATGATTTGTCAACCTTAAAATCTTATGAGCAGCTTTTTGCAATTTTGTATTGCTTCACCTTGTCACCACCACTTCACATCATTTCAACGATGAGAGCAACTACTACTGCTTTTTTCTTGCTGCTTTTGTGTCTATGGTCTCGGATGCAAATTTGATATTACAATTAGTTATGTCGAAACACGAAATGGGTTGCCGATTTTTTGGGCCTGCTTTTGTATCTATGATTTCCCATTGTGCACATATATTTTTATTGACAAGGTGTTTTTTTGTTTGTTTCTTTCAGTGCACCGCTCGCAAGTGCTTCTCAACGCTGCTCACACTGGCAGCGTCCTCCACTTCATCGTGCTCTTCACCTGAAGCCAGGCACTACAACCTTCGTTCGAAACGCGCCAAACGTTCTGCCAAGGCACGTCCGCATTTCTTTCGCCCTAACTCTCTTGTTTGTCACGCTAAGAGCTGCTGTTTTTTGTGTGTCTATACTGTGTTCATCATACCCTACATTTTAAACATGGCAATAGATGTCCACATATCATGCTAACTGGGATGACGCCACCATGAGGACCTTTCTGGAACTAGTGATAGAACAGAAAACCCTATTGCACTTAAACTAGCGAGGCCTCACAACCGTGGGTTGGGCTAATGTGTATCCAGCATTCGCAAAGGAAACAGGGTTGCCGTATGACAAGAAATAGCCACAGAACAAGTTCAACAAAATAAAGCGGTCATATTTTCTTTGGCGTGACCTACAAACCCACACTGGCCTAGGTCGAGACTCGACTACAGGAGGCGTCACAGTTGACCCCTCGTTCTTTGAGGGTGACAACAGGGTACTAACTTCCACCTAATTCCTTTCTAACCCCCCACCCACTAACCAGTGCTAGGGATGTTCCCATTCTATTTATTCTAACCCTTAGATCCATGGCACCCGTGCAGGAAAATAGCCAATCTGCTATGGAATGTACCAAAATGCCCAAATGCCTTGACCAACTGATAACTCTGTGGGGACACACTCCCCACGATAGGGGTTCGTTGCTGTCTTCTGGTGGCCATCATCGCGAGACGACACCTAGTAATGCCGGCCATGGTAGTCCACACGAGATATCACCAAACCCCGTAGGTGTCCAGAGTGTTCGTTAGTCCTCCAAGAGATCCACTAGGGATTTCTTTATCAACAGTCCGCGCAGTAAGAAGAGTGCTTCCATTGATGAGTGCCTTAATGACCTGACTGACATCATTAAAGACCATAAGCTCCAAAAGGCCCGTACGAGCAAGTAGGAAGAGGAGATGGATAAAGTGGTGAAGATTATTGTAGGATCTCTAGTTGGCCTAGAGGGGGGTGAATATGCCTATCAAAACAAACACTCAAACTTTTATCAAATTCTCCAAGAGTAACAATCACAACCGCCGGCCAAAACATGAACCAAGTGCTCTTTTGAGTTGAGGAATCAATGGAGCTGCTCTCTAATCGAGTTTTGGACCCTTTTCTCTTAAGGATTGATGGGGAAATCAATAGATTTACTTGAGGGCTCAAGGTCAACAATGGAGGGAGAGAGAGAGAGAGGCTCCTTTCTGTATTGAACGAGCTAGAGTGAGGAAGAAGAGGCAGAGAGCCATTGGGGAGGAAGGGGAAGAGTATAAATACCCCTCAACCCCCAACGGTCACTTAAGTCGTGGCAGTGCCGTGTCTCAAGTGCGGCAGAGCCTCTCTTCAAGTGCAGCAGTGTCGCACCACGCAAGATAGCAAGGGTAAGAGTGAAGTGTAGACTATCTTGGCTGTGAATCTGAGGATGCATATGTATGTTTGAGCACTTGGTAGCACATATTAGCTTAAGCATTGTGTCCCCCTTTATAGTATGGCTTTTTCTATACTCAAATTCAAAATATAAAAGAATTTAAACCTCCTTTGGGTTTGAAGCCATCTACATTTGTAATTGGGGGCTCCTCCATTTCGTGTAGCATCCTCGAACATGAATTCCCTGCTTGTCATCTCGATAAATCTCATTAGTTCTCTAATTGCGTGGTTATTATCACCACAACCCATAATTAGGGCTTGATTGCACTTTCAATCTCTCCCTTTTTGGTGATTGATGACAACCCAATTAGAGCTTACAAAAGCTATGAAATAAATACTGAGATTTTCGAGCCATGGCTGTAGAGCCTCCCCCTAAGTATGTGAATAGAGAATTGAATTCTCAAATTGGCATAAGAAGCCAAAATTCACATTTTAGTGAAAGTGATGGGGCTTCTCCTACATCCATGCTCCTGTGGGGTGCTACATACTGTGTCAGATATGTAAAACGTGATGCAAATGACAGTTTATGCACAACACGGTTTGCTGTTGTAGCTAGGTGCGGCACTGCCGCACTTGCTGTAATAGCACAGATCAGAATAGACACCACACAACATGTGATACATATAAAGATATACCTTCTAAAACAATTGTATCACAAGCGACAACATAGATTAATATATGTCCATATCCTACATATATGAAAAGTACTTAAGTAGCATTATTACATAAATAGAGTTTCTAATGGACTCTCAAACTCTCACCTAATGAAGACTACTCTAAACGGATACGAACATGACTCTAACTGCAGCAACCTCCATGGCGTCGAAAAAGTTGTTGACCCCTCTAATTTTCTCCCCATTTGGCATAAAGCACCAAAAAGAGAAGAAAAGAAGAAAGACCAACACTCACTTCTCATCCTCTTGGATCGTGTCCCAATCGACATCATCCCCACCAGTAGCTCCACTAGCACCTGCAACGTCCTCCTCCCCACCACCATCATCATCGTCATCGTCGGAGGAGGAAGAAGAAGACACCACCGCACTCCCTTGGTGATGAGTGGTCAAAATGTGGCGCTCATGCCTGGTGCTCCTCCTCATGGTCTGCAAGGTGGATCTCAAACTGGTC